CGGCTGCGTCTTTCTCCGCTTCGCTCTTCAGCTTCGCTTCCTCGGCTTGCTTCACCCATATTGACTTCACCGCCGTCGTCGTCGTCGCCGTCGTAATCGCCGTTGAATTGCTTCGGTCAGCCATGTACTACTGTAGCCACAAATGTCCTAACCCTAAATTTTGTGAGGGGGTCGGGTAAGGGATGTCCGGGGTAAGAGAATTTTCATAAAATGCCTAAGAGAAATAGAAAAAATAAGAGGTGCAAATGTATAAAAACCTCAAGTTTTTGGACCGTATAGGATTTAAAGAAATAGCAGTGCTTAAATAAACTATTGAAAACTATGTGGGCGTTTGGACATAAGAATTGTAAAATTAAAAATAAAAAAAATAAAAAAATTTATGGTATTTGAAAATTAGAGTTGTGTTTGAAAATAAATATAATTTTGGGTTGTTTTTGAAGTTTTTTTTGGGTATTTAAATCTTTGTATTAACCACAATGTAAATTTTACATATTCTTTTTGGGCAGAAGAAGTTCAAAATGAAAGATTTGAGGGAACTCATATTCTTTTTGGGCACAGAGTTTGCTCACAACAAGTCTGGAATTTTAATGAATCAGAGAAAGTATGCTCTTGAGTAGATTGCTGACTCTAGGCTAGGGGAGCTAAGCCAATATCTACCCCATTAGAATGCAATCAAAGGCTAACTACAGCAGAATTTGATGAGGTTGTCTTGTGCTCTGATAATGGCATAGGTGCAAAGGTCAAGAACTGTGTGTTTCCTGATCCTGAACCTTATCAAAGGTTAGTAGGCAGGCTATTATATCTAACTATGACTAGGCCTGATATAGCTTATGTTGTTCATGTTCTAAGTCTGTTCATGCATAAGCCTAAAATATCTCATATGGATGCAGCTCTAAGGGTGATTAAATATGTCAAAAATGCACCAGGATTAGGCTTATTAATGTCTTCACAACAGTCTGATAACTTGATAGCCTTTTGTGACTTAGACTGGGCCTCTTGTCTTCAGTCCAGGAAGTCTATTACAAGCTATCTAGCCAAGTTTGGAAACTCTTTAATTTCATGGAAATCTAAGAAGCAAAACACGGTTTCTAGAAGCTCAGCTGAAGTAGAGTTCAGAAGCATGGCTTCCATAGTTGCAGAGGTTTTATGGTTAGTAGGGTTGTTCAAAGAGTTGGGAGTCCACATCCAGCTGCTTATTGCGCTGCATTGTGACAGTAAAGCAGCCATTCAAATAGCTGCAAATCCTATTTTTCATGACTGGACAAAACATATTGACATTGATTGTCATTTTGTGAGGGAAAGTTGCAGAAGGGTCTCATTCAAACTCACCATATCAGCACCAAAGCTCAGTTAGAAGATATACTCACTAAAGGATTAGGCAAGGTCCATCACTACTATTTATTTAACAAGCTAGGGATTGAAAACCTATTCTTACCCGTCAGCTTGAGAGGGAGTGTTGAGACTAGTAGTGCTAGTGGTGGTTAGGTTCCTATAGTTAGTTATAACTAACTTACACTAGAGTAGAGTTGGTGTAACTAGAGTTAGCATTAGAGCTGAGTTAGCAGTAGTTAGTTTTTAATCCTCCTCCTCATTCTTCTATATATATGTGTTTGGTTACACTTATAAATATACAATTGATAGATTACATTTTTTATTTCCCACTCTTCTAGAACATTCCATCAGAATTCCCTCTCTTCTCCATAGCTAGCATAGATCTTGAGCTCACGTCCATGGCTGAGCTCTATAATTAGCCGATTTCTTCACCTGGTCGCCTCCGCTTTACTGTAAGCTCAAATTTTGAATTTTATTGCAGCTCGTGAAATTATTCTATTGTTATTGTTTTGCGCTTTTAGCTCATAACAAAAAATTATTCCAGTAGTTGTTTTTCTAGTCAACTAGTTGAACTCCTCAACTTATTTGCTTCTTCTTCTTCTTCTTCTTCTTCTTCTTCAATCTTAAGAATCTGTCTCTGTATCATTCTAGCTGTATTTTGCACTGTCACTTGTATTCAAGCCTACTAAATTTATTATTACTGATTATATTCTTTTTGTCTATGGTGCAAAAAGTTTGAATAACAATTAAGCATCTTACTTTGTCTAAATTTTTTACATGAACCGTTCGTACCCATTTTTGTTGCGCCTTGCTGTTTTTCTTTTGTGGGAATTGAATTTATTGAATTTTATGTATGGTGCAGGTCAAGACATTTTCGGAGCGGATTGAAGATATTGACGTTGATGTGTACAGAAGTCTTGACCCTTTAAAAGCTGAGTCATCTGAAGTTTCCTCCTTCTTCCGAGATTGCCTTGTGGAATGGAGAGTATGTATTTTATATGATAATTTTGTATACCATTTTGTAAAGATTGTTGAACTTTTGGTTAACTTGTAGTTTTGGAAGAGTTTCTTTGTTAAAAAAACTTCCTTTTTTTGGTTTTGTTAGGGTGACATTCATGTCTTTTGTTTGAAGATTCTTAGTAGGGGCTTGAATTTGATGTTTGTCAGAAAATGTTAGCGGAACAATTTTGTTGAGAAACGGGAAGAGGCTATCTTTTCATAAAGTTTACCTAGAGAATTTGGTTTTGGATAGTGTTTACATATTTTTGGTCAGTTGATAATGTGTACGTTTTGTATAAGAAAATTCAAACAATTCATAAGGGTACAAGCACGATTTCTTTTCCCTATCAGGTTGTTAAACAAAAACACGAAAATGGTTGGTTTAGAGTTTATAAGTTTCTCCTTTGTCCAAAAGTTTTGGACCGTGTACGTGGATTTGTTTATGGTTTCAGCGTGTACAAGCATGTAAGAAATCGTGGCTGATGCACGTACACGATCCAAAACTATTAGACAAGTTTTAGACAAGTTTTAGTTTAGTTCGAAAGACATGTAAGAAGTACCCATAGGCATCACACCCCGTTCAAAATAGATATGCCTAAGAAAATGAAGAGTTATGCAATTTTTTCTACTACTGGTTGTGCTATTCCTACTTTTTAAGGATGTTTTTTTCTTTTTTTTTTTGATTTTCCTAATTCTCTTTTTCTTTCTTGGACAAAATAACAGGAATTAAACACTGCCGCGGATTTTATTTTATTTTACGAGGAAATATTTCCCTTGGTACAGACGCTACCACAAATTATACTGCACAAAGAATAGATAGTCGCAAAACTTCTTTCTATAGGGAAATAATACCTGAAAATAACAATAATAATAATGCAATAATATTATTTGTAATCAGATACACGAATTGGCTTGAGTCGTGCTGGGCACTATCCTAAGAAACTATTTTAGCAAAGTGAAATGTTTCCCCAGGATTAAACAAGCTCATCTCTATTTATTTAGAGGATACAGGAATCAGCAAAATTAAATATTACAAACCAACTATTTAAAAGGGGGGAACAAAAGAAATTAGACTACTAAACTTTGAGAAGGAAAAACAACAAAGGAAAGGTTATGAAGACAAAAATTAGAAGGAAAGTACTAGAATGATTTTTTTGTCTTGCTAATGATAATTGATTAGAAAGGAGTGATTGGTAATGGCTATTTATAGCCTTATTTGCATGAAGACTAGTTGTGCATGGCAAGAAAGTGGCTGATGCATTTTGCCACTTTACAAATGCATTTTGTCATCTTTCTAATGGTTTCTAGAAGGGCTTCCACATGGTCTTGTTCAAGACATCTGTCACGACCCTAAACCGATCCAGTTGTGATGGCGCCTATCGTGAAATTAGGCCAGCCGACACAACTCCAGAGTTGACCATTTAATCAATGATAATTCATTTTTAAGCTTTTTAATAAATCAAATATCTCATAATGTAAGTCTAAATGAACAGTGCGAAAATAATATACAAGCCCGACATCGGGGTGTCACAAGTCACGAGCATCTACTAAGGTCTGAATACAACAAGAGTCTAAGAATGTACTAAATATAATCTAAGAAAGATAAGAGGGAGAAAAGTAGTGATGCGAACGTCGGACAGCTACCTTGCTAAACTCCGATGACTCTGCCTCCAAGAAATCAACACCTGCTACTAGGTTCAGAAATACCTGAATCTGCACACAAGGTGCAGAGAGTAATGTGAGTATTCCAACTCAGTAAATAATAAAGGTAAATGAAAGCTGAGTAGTAAGAAAACACGTAAACTAAGTCAAAACGCTACAACAAATACATGATATTTCTAATACAGTACAGAAATCATTTACTTCGTAAATCATGCTCAGTTTCGGTAAAAACCTCTTAAAAACAATTTTCAATAGTTTCAAATGAGTGATAAAACAGTGAGTAAATATGATAGAAATGTAAACAGCCCCTCGGGCAAAACACGTACCATAAACCGCCACTCGGGCATAATATCAACAGAACCAGCCCCTCGGGCTACCTCACAGTCACTCGTAATCAGCCCCTCGAGCATAACATAAATCAAGAACCGCCCCTCGGGCTATATCATATAACACACTGGGTACCCGCACTCACTGGGGGTGTACAGACTCCGGGAGGGAGCCCTTACGACCTAAGCGCAATATCAAGCCATCTTGTGGCATAATCAATAGGCTCTCGGCCTCATATCAAGCCACCTTGTGGCATACAACTCAGGCTCTCGGTCTCATAATCATAATCAGTACAACACTGCTGCGAAGTACAACTCGATCCTATAATAATTCTCACAACACAGGCCTTCGGCCCTACTTAGTCAGAAATCTCTAAAAGCCACTCGATGCCTTTGCCTCTCGACTCAGCCTCCGAATGCTCCAAATCTAGCCAAAAGCAGATTCACACCATCAAAATATGCTAAGGAAACAAAGCCCATTCGAAAATATTTAATTTATACCAAAAAATCCCGAAATTGGCCAAACTCGGCCCCACATCTCGAAATCCGATAAAAATTATATCAATAGAATCCTTATCCTCTCACGAGTCTATACATACCAAAATTATCAAAATCCAACATCAAATGCCCATTCAAATCCCCAAAAGAATTCTCAAACTTTTCTTCCATTCCTCCCCCCCCCCCCCCCCCCCCCCCTCCCAATTTCCACTCTAATCTCTCAAATTAAATGATGAAATTCAAGACTAAGTCATGGAATTAAACCAAATATGAGTGAAGAATACTTGCCCCAATAGCTCCACTGAAAATCTCCTCAAAGTTCACCTTCTCCCGAGCTCTCTAATGGAATTTCGAATTTATGGACCAAACCCTCGATTTTAAAAATATAAACTGACTGCCCAAGTATTC